CTATGATTCTATGATTCTATAACAGGAAAATTTCTTTCAGGGGCTGGTTGAGTGTTGCTGGTACTTTCCTCACTGTAACATACCTAAATGAGGACTGGCTGAAAATGCTGTTATCTGAGGAAACCAGCCTCTGAGCTTCATTGCACAAGAATAAAAGTGGTCCTACCTAACCATATGGGAATATTTGTCATGGAGATTAACACTCGGTTCTGAAAATCAAACATTAGTGGAAATAAATTAGTGCTCTCACTCTGCAATAGCAGCAGTTGGAAATGGTTAAGTTTTGCTTGATCAGTAGGTGTGTATTGCCAGAAAGCTTGTGTGTTGAAGCAAAAGCCTAAGTCAGCTTTCTGATCTGGACCACTTGTGTGGGGAGGTGTTTTAATAAATGCTCATTCTAAGCAAATTTCTTGGTAGAGCAGGAGCAATTCAGTGTAAGAGACATTCAATGGTGGAGTTGTTATCTTTGAAGTATGGATGAGAAATACGGAAGAAATCTTAAAATCAACTACTAAGCTAAATCAATTCAGAGCTGGCAAAAAACCATGCCCAAAATAGGCATGAAACCATCACAAAGAACGAATAAGCAGAGATTTTTAAATGTTGTTTGGTAAGACATTTTTCAAAGTTGTCTTTAAGCAGTCCCTTTTTCCACAGAAGACAACTTAGGTACTGTTACAGTAAATAGATTTACCTTTAAGTTACAGAATTTGGTGTGAAGTCTGAAAAATCTCTATCTGAACCAATGAATTATGAGTGAAATGCTAGGTTCCTGTCTTAAAAGACACTTCCATTATCTGAAAGAATAGACAGTGAAGGAGAATGAAGTATTTCTAGAATGTCTGGAAAGCACATTTCAACAGTTGATGAGAGAGAAACAAAAGTAAAAACCAGTCACCATTTGCTTGGATTATCTTTAGTACTGCAATGAGATAACTACCCCCTTGGAATTTTCATTTCCGTGTTCTAGATCTCCTCCAGTTTTCGAGCATCCCACACTGCATTTTTTTAATTATGAAAAGCAAAATAATATGTCAATCTTGACTCTAAACTTTAAAGAGGTATACTGTCTAGTACACATACTGCCACTGTGGGGAGCCACCCACCCTTGCTGCTTGCTAACAGCCACCGCCATTTCCTCTTCTTCTACCTTCTCATTCCTTCTAATCCTCTCCATCTTCCACATCCCATGGGTTCCTTCTCTCCATTTCTGAGGCCATTCTGGGTATCTGTTTTCATCTCACACCTCTCCTCATCCATTTTGCTGTAACTTCCTAGATATTTGGGAAACACTAGTCTACCACAGACACTCCAAGATCCAGTCTTTAAGCAGACTTTGCTGGTACAATTTTCCTTTCTATTCCATCTTGCTCACAGGTCCAGACAAGGATAAAGTGATCCCAGCTTTGCCATCCTTACCACTTCAGATGTAGGCGCCTCAGAAGACATTTATATCACTTCAGAAATCTGAGGCTCCATAGGCAGGAAGCTGGTCCCCCAGAGCTCATATAGTCAATACAAATAGATCAGTACTCAATCAGGTAACTCAGAACCAGTATGAAGCCTGGTCAGGCGCTATCTACAGGAGACTCTGTCTTCAATGACTACTTAGAGCGTAGAAGAACTAGGCTCTAATCCAGGCACTTCACTTAGGTAAAGTTAGGTGGTGAGGATGCCATCCCATAGTCTGAGAGGTCTCATGTGGGGCTCTTCTATGTTACTGTGTCTGTCTGTAGTCTAAAGCGTGAAAAATGTCGTGTTCACTGATGCTCCAATCCTCTTCCAGCCTCCCAGCTGCTCCTTTATGGGAGAACAGAAGGGTAAGGGAACATTGCTGTTCAGAGGAGGAACAAAAAACCTGTGACAGAAGCAATAAGGGCTGGAAGTGTTAAAACTGGAATAAGTGCCAATCATAAGACAGACTGCAATATTTATTACAAATCCAAAGATGAGAGTATATCCCCATAGATTTGGCAGTTTGGTTCAAAACCAAATTTGGGTTTTTTTGGTAATTTGGGTTTTGAATCCTACTGCATGCTAAGTGAGTAGGGTGGAAGAAACAGTAATGTGAAAATTGTTTAAAATAGAGCATTAGGATTTTCAGGGGAATACTATTGCATTTCATGCCTGAAGGGGCAAATCTGCTCTGATGGTAATGAAGAAAGGCTTTGAAAACAGCTATTGCTAAAAAGCATCAGTTTGCTGCCTTATCCTCCAACACCCGTTTTTCCCCTTCCCTGATATATGTATTACATATGAAGCAATCAAAGCAGCAATCACACAACTAGAGCATACAACAGACTTCTGGAAAAAAAACCCAAACAAACAACCAAACAAAAAAAAACCCCAACCAAACAAACAAGAAACAACCTACAGGTGGGGTGGCGAGAATGAATATTTCCAACTCAGTACCAGACCCTATAGTTTAGTTTCCTTCACTTATAATAGCAACCAAGGCTTGCAGCAGTCTATCATCTCTATGTTTGTATGGTTTGGCATTGTAAAAAAGATCAACATAGTCACTGTATAGACTCTCTTCTGAGTCTCTCAACTGTGAGGGCTTGTTTAATTTTTCAAGGGCTTGATAGAAGTGTTCATATGGAATATTTAACTTTTCACTTGCAGTCTTCTTTGGCAGTTGCTTCTGAGCCATCTGTCTGCTAAAAGCACTTCGCAGTAAATGTAGCATAGCCTCTGATGGGATTTTATCTTCTGTTTTGTCACTGCTACTGCTGGTATCTTTTGTGACTTGGGGTTTTTCACTCAGGTTTTCCTGTGTGGTATGGTCCTAGAATACAGATTAGCATAAAATACATTAGATGTCAATGAAAAACTGGCTGGAGTAAGATTTTCTCTAACTAGTGACTTCCATCTATGTGTGGGTAGATACTGGTTTTTTTAATTCAGGAGTGTACTGGGAGGAGGTAGAGAAATGGGGAGCAAAGCTGAGCCCAGAAAGAAGAGTGGGGTAGGAGGGGGAAGGATTTTTAAGATCGGGTTTTGTCTCTCATTGTCCTACTCTGATTTGATTGGTAACTAATTAAATCTCTTTTTCTTCCCCAAGTCGACTCACCATGACCATAACTGGTGAGTGATCCCTCCCTGTCCTTGTGTCAAGCCATGAGCCTTTTATACTCCCTTCTCCTCATCCCACCAAGAGAAGGAGTGAGCAAGCAGCTGTGAGATGCCAAGTTGCTGACTGGGCCTAAACCATGACAAGGAGGCATGTAGTATCTAGACAAGAACTAGACCATTATACACCAAACCAGACCATCAAAAGGACTATATTGTATAAAACATCAAATCTGCCCACAACGTAATTAGTTATAAAACCAGATCGTGCATAGGCAGGATACAATGCATCATTTTATAGCAAGATTTGTCCCCATCTTAAGAGATATTTCTGGTCATACTGTAGGAGACAGCTCCTCAGCAGTCTAACTGCAGGAAGTATATGCAGTGGTGATGGCAGCTCCGACTGTGCCACACACCCTTATGAAAACGACTGAAGCAATGATTCCATAAAACCTTCTCTGTAGATGAACTGAGAAAAGACAGTGAAGTATGGCTAATGGGTGGCATGATGTATATCTTGGAAACTTTGGAAGACTAATGCCAGATACAGTCAGTGAGAGGCATGATCTCGTTTCAACAGTGCCTATTATGCCTCCCATACTGACACAGTAGGATGTGGCTGCATAGCTTTCTTATTTACACTAGGATTGTCTTTCTAACTGAATACTTGTTTTACCTTTGTCTGGTTTTTTATTATGTCCACCAATCTTCTCCTACAGTACCTTCTGAACCCACTTCTACTTTCTTCCAATTTATATTCTTCCACATGACTGTGGATACTTGTTTAATGAATTTTAAAGACCACAGTCACGTCTCCCTCAATCTCCTCCTTCACAACCTGGCTGTGGAAGGTTAATCTCTCTCTATTTTATGGATAACCTAATTACTTAATGGGGAGACAAATTGATGTGATTAATAAAGTATTCCAAATATGATGAAATAATCAAGTATTGTGAAAACGCACAATGCTACCATCAAATGCATCCCAAAACCCACTGTCACTCTCAGAAGCATAGAGCATGTTTAGAGCAGTCTACCTGAAAGGTAAAGAAGGGGTGACAAAGGAGCTAGCACCAACAAATCCTCTTGACTAAACTTTCTGAATCAGTGAGTCCCTAATTTTTGCCATGTCTTTTGTTACTAACTTCCTTCCAAACTCCCTGGAAGCACTCCAGCAGGCAAACCTCCTCTTGGAAATTACACTTGTTCTCACTAGAATTACAGAAATGTTGGCATATGAAAACAGAGATAAATAAAAGCATCAGTTGTTGACATGGACACAATTACAATACACAATTCAGAAGCAGTCAGAGGCTAGATGAAATTAATACAGAATGAATGTGTCTTCTTACTAGAAAAAAAAACCCCACATTTTCTTATGAATCGAAAAATACATAAGGAAAAAAAATTAATGTAACACTACCTCTACAAAGTCTGTCATCTTCTCCACTCCTCTTCTGTCATTCTGCACAGCATTGTAGGATGTGTATACACGTGGCTGCTTCATATGCTCAGGCTGGGTAGCAGTGCCATGCAAAATCAATTTCCAATTTACAATACTTCCTTCATTTTGTATTCTTCTGGACTAAAGGACAAGCATGGCATTAGCATAGGTTCTCAGGCCATAAGAGAAAGAAACAGGACACTTAATTGTAAAGAACACAGAAGTGACTAAAATAAATTGTAAGTGTTTCAATAGATAAATTTAGACAATGATCTATAAACACCAAAAGACTTGATAAATTAGAGAGAGAGAGATCAACAAGTGGGATTTAATACAATGGCTTAACTACTCCAATATTCACATTTTGATGCAACATAATTATTAATTAATCATGTAAGCACCCATGGAATTTTGTCATAATACAGAATGCTAAAAATTACCGAAGTAGCCTTTTATTAGCAGTTGTTCACTAAGCCATTCCTTGGCAACTTCCTCACAAAAGTTACCATTGGACTAGTAATTTGGAATAATCTTTTGTAGTGGTGTACAATTGCAATCTGAAACAGACTGTGGAAGCAAGCAACAAATGCGCTGTTCATTTGTTTGGGCAGCAGCTTCTGAATAGTAGAAAATAGAACAGAGAAGTACACAATGAAACTTGATTTTACCAAAACCTCTTTCAGAATTTTTGTTCAGTCATTCAGTGAACAGTTGAAGATCTTCTTCTCTATTAGAAGTCTATACCAAAGTTTACATACACAGTTTACATAACAGCTAAATTATGAGTAACTCTGCATGGGAATTTGTAATTTCAGTTAGGGTCATTAATGTGGAAACTTATGTAAGGAATCACAAAACCCTACAAGGTGAGGAAAGACTGCATTACCTCTAGAGGAGAAAAAGCCTGGTTTATTGTAACATTCAGGAGCCTCTCACTTGAAAATGGAAAATGAGAGATAATTACAAACAAAATGTTCTTAACTTCATTCCAAAAAATCCATTATATTAATTACAAAGAGCACGGTATCTGTAACCATGAGGTTATCTATAAGCCTGCAGTATTAACACTACATTGTTGATAATAATATTTACTTCTACTGCCTTGTCCATCTGCTTAATACTTGGCATTATCCTCCTGTTTACAATTTGAGGCCAATAGAGGCTGGAGGCTCAGTGTCTGATGGGAAGCATTCAGTTGCTGGCAGGATCTGACCCCTAATGACAAGCTTATTAACAGATGGCTTCAATAAAATTCTCCAGATATGACTGTGCTTGATCACTCTCTCTTTGAAAAGAATGATTTTTCATCTGCATATCAAGCAGCGTCATTTCAGTGTCTCGCTGTTGTAATCCATATCCCAGGGTGGTTTCAGTAAACTTATTTCATATCTGTAGATTTCTTGGCATCCTTAAATGTTGATCAGCAGTAATTATTCTAAGAAAGAAGTTAGGGAATAGTATACACCAGAATAGCTTTCTGAGGTCACTAGAAATTTAAAAGGTTTTGAGGTAATGAAAATTACGCACATGCACCAAGAGAAGACTAGATCTATCCTGTCTTCTTTTCTGCAGAAAAACCTAATTTGCAGTTAATCGTATGTTAATTCAATTACATATTTCACTCCATGAATCACAGAAAATTATATTAAGGGATTTCTGTCAGTGACATACAGTGTGTAAAAAACATAGGCATGAAATTTTATTGACAGGTACATTTCAGTGAAATGAGGATGATCCTTTGCATTTATGTGAAAAACAAGAAAATTGGACCTTATCTTTTTCTTTAATCTTTAATCCAGATGGATATTTAGTGTAAATAAACTCTTGTACCTTTTTTAATGAGAAGACTCACTATTCAGCATGCTTGGTAGTAGTTAGTGATCATTTTATCTGTGTTAGCTTCCAAACATACAGACATACTTACCACATCAGTAATTCTTAAAACCCAGGTGCCTGTTGGATTCTCTCCCCATGTGTGAACAGACATGAAGTCCCAGTTCTTAAAGCCATTAGGTGATTTATCTCTCTCTCTCTCAGCCAGTAAGACAGTGCTGGTCCCTGTGTCAGTGCAAGATCAACAGTAGTGGTTGTTTATACATGTTAGCTTTTACTTTTCACATGGCTCAGCTTGCACACTGCCTAGTGCACAGGTAACCTGGAAAATACACTATTTAACAGTGGCTTGTGGAAAAGGAAACATACTATCTCTGACCAGCTGTTCCTTTAATTATTTTCACTGTGCATTTAAGGGGATAAAAACTACACATTTGGTCACATTAAGAAGGTACATCTTGCCTAGTGTTCAATCTCTAACACAAAAAAGTAGTGTGCACATAAAGAACCATAAGAAAGAGAGGTCACGCTCAACCAGTATTTGCCACTGATGAACCATTCAGAAAACTTCCAAGATGGAAGTTTTGAAAGCAAACCAGCTCACACAGTATTGTGAAACCAAAGCCTTAGCATGAATTCATCACTGTTTTTTTTTCTTTGTTTGTTTGGTTTTTTTGAGTGGATGTAAATTTTTACAGCCTGGAACTCCAACGGGGTGAAAAGCATTTGCATTGTTGTTATTGCTATTACAAAAATGCCGCAGTTCATAAAGTATTTCTGCAGAAGAAGAGATTCTATTGAACAGTAGGAAACTTGTTGTGCCTGTTTACATATAAGGAGAGAGCAAGGGAGTTAATTTTACAAAATAAGGACCAGAGAAGCCCCAGAGAGTCTGACCACAACCTATAAATACACTTAAAGGTAACACCATAAATGTAGAAAAGGAATGACATACATTTGGTAGTACTGTTTCTTGGGAAAGTGGAAAACCAGCAAGAACGAAGGGAAAGAACAGTTTAACCATGACAGCAACATGATACACTAGTAGAGGCAGTAGCACTTGACTCTTGCTACCTCAGCTAAACCCACAGAAATATACAGAAATATGAAGAACGTATTACTATAGTCTGTCTTTCAAAAACGGGTATTTTTCCAAGATTAAGCTGTGCTTCACACATATTAGCAATAGAACAGTGTCTTAAATGGAAATACCTCTATAAAAGCAGAATGAGAGCTACTGTTTCTATCATCTCCATGATGCACCTAGAGACAGTACCTATATTTACTCCCGAACTAAAACTTAATCTAAGACCAAAATAAATTTGACAATTCCACCAAGAGTCAAGGATAAAAGACCTCACAGCAACTTTGGTCCCATAAGGAAAAACGTAAATTTAGAAGAGGAAGAATTACATGTAGGCTTAAAAGGAATTCCAGACAGGTTAGGGTTCGGAAATAAAGTGTAGGTACAGCACCCTAACCCTGCTCTTTAGTGACATCCTGCAATAATGATATGAACAAGGCTCTACTGGTTCATTATCTGTGAATTATCTGTGAAAAAAGATTACTCTTTAATATCAGTAAATTTGATTAGCCTGGTGTTTAAATTCACACCTGAAAGCTGGGCTGTTTTTTCTATTAATACCAGTTGATCTAACAGATCTTGCTCTCTAGAAAGTTGTAGATACTCATTCTCCTTCCTTATTTTTTCCTTCTCCTTATGGTGTTATTTCCGTGTATTGTCAAGATAGCTTGCCATATTCTAGCACATTTAGTACGGATGTACTAAGGTGCCTAACAGACATGGTGTTTTTAAATACAACAATGGGGAGACAAAGTTACATGGAATCTAGGGAATCAGATCTCCTGTTTTCCATTAATTTGTTAAATCACAGTCAGGCTGATAAGCTCTACTGAACTGTAATTCATTGTCTGACAGAAACTCTGTTTTTAAAGGTCCTGTTGCCAGGACAAAAACATATGGGAAATGATGCCTTCATTTTCTGAAGCATGATTTTCAAACCTCTTCTAACAAAAATAACCCAGAACACATGAAGAGTTGAAAGGGGTTTCAGAGGACCAGTTCTCACACTCACCAGCTGGAGGTTACTTGATTTGTTTAATGATATATTAGCTCTTTTTAACTCACTGAAGAAAAAAGAGGTGTTTTTTAATGACATAAATATTACACACTACAGCAACACAAACAAAGCATGTCTTTGCCTCCCATACCTGATGGAGACACTAGAGTAACATGAAGATCACCTCTACGGGAATACTCAATCGTTGCCTCAAGCTGCACATGCTCCAGAGATGCAATGAAGTTTTCTTGACCCTCGCAGGCTTTTGTGGGAATTTCAATGATGACTTCTTCATTTGCTCTTAATAATCTGGCAAAATTGCAGAAGTTCTGATTACTCACAGAGATTTTTGATTCTGGATCATTATGTGACAAACAAATTACATATTTAACACCCATTTTACAATTATGAAAAAGAAGGAAGTAAAGACAAATTATACTTTTTTTTTTTTTTTGAATGCTCCAGTAAAAAACATGAGAAGTTCTGGAAGCACAGATAATACTCAAATGGAAGAAGTGATAGGCACTGCCTAAGACAGACTTGTGCAACACACCCTGGAAGCAAGCAATCAAGTCTGACAATCAAGGGTTTGTCAACATTTTGTTACCCCTCAGAGACTACCAAAAAAACAGTCTTTGCAGGCAGCAACATCACATGACTGTATCACACTTACAGGTAGTGCCTCATTCGAATATCCAGAGGAGTTGTTATGGAGTTAAAATACTGCAGCAAGCATAGCTGTTTTAACCCATTGTAGTCAATGCCATTTCAAGAAAAAACGAAAGCGCTTACATCTTCTGCACATTCTCTGTACAAAGAACTACTGCGCATAGCTTTCTCTGCACAATTTCCATTGCTTCTAATAAGAATGGGGTATCTAAATCTCCACATAAATAATTCTAAACTCAGAATCTTGGGATCTTTGTTTTTATAGTGTAACATAAAGGATGGCAATAAAAATATATAAACACCAAGTATTACACACATCAGTACCAGATCAGCACTCTGTGTAAAGGGGAGAGCTCATAAAAGCAAATTGACACTAAAATAGCATAAATAATAAGGTTACCAAGCACTGACACTCCAGAAGACTGTAATATATTTCTACAGACAAGATTTTTGGTGCGCTCACACAGTATAATTTTGATCCTTGAAATATCTGCATTTTTTCTAAACAACAAATCCATAAGTGAACAAGCAGAGACAAAAACAGTCCAGATACCCCTACTGATTAGACAGCTTAGTGACTAATTAGAACTTCTCTGTACGTTGAGCTGTTTAGGCTCACTATGCTGGGAGCACTTGTGAATGTGGCTATTAAGTTTTTTCAGTAGCATTTGAGAGGCTTAAGCTTCATAAGAGACGTGCTATGGATGTGACTAAAGCTCAGTATATCACCTTGATTTCAACATATACTATGCCTGTCATGGGAGAAGAATTCTTAAGACCAATTACAGATTTAAAAAAAAAATGCTGGGAGACTTTGGTATCTTTTTATTCATCTTCAGATAGTAGTATAAACATTCATATCTTCTCTGATTGGGTTCAGTCTCACAGCATCATCCATCGGATATGCTGGCAGCAGAAGCAGACAAGAAGTCTTATTCTTTGTTAAGGCTTTATGCTAGTAAGTTCCATCAGTCTTAACACTAAAAAAAGGAAGCAAGCAAATGCTCTTGACTGCTCCTGAGGAATATAGTAAGGCAAAACTAAGTTAATCAAAAGAAATCTCTTAAGTCTGGTTTAGAGCAACCTGTGCAGAATACTATCCTTCAGGCTATTCTAAGATAGACATAAGCTTAGTTACTGCTAACACAAATGCTCACCTTGGTTCAAAGCTTTTGTCTTTGACAATACACTCTCTCTTTTCTGGTACACCCTTCCATCTTTTGAGATCAGCTAAATCGACCAATGCATTGGCATTGAGTAGTCCAAACCCAAACCGGCTGTTGACCATCAGTCCTGCTCCATTCTTTTTCCAGCCTGGATTTCCAGCCAGTGGATCGTATTCTGAGGTCCACACCACCAAGTGCTGCATATCCCTCCATGTTAGGTTTGGGCTGTTGAGAAAGTGTTCCTGGTTAATTTTTTTCAGGGCTATCTATGCTTTTTCTCTCTATTTCTAGTCAGTAACAAAACACACTTTGAATGTATATGGGCACATCATTATTTTAAAATATATACCATGTCACATGCTTAACCTTACAGTAGTTCTCCAGGTAGTCAAGATTTCTGTGTAGATGAAGAATGGGTATCTAGAAAGATGAGTTCAATTCTTCAAAATTATTCAGGTATCTAAAGTTAATTAGCAAAACTAGCACTTGTCATGGGACCTGGACTTTGAATATTCACTGGATACTTCTATCTGTGATTAACTCTACCCTTTAAAATATGGTCCTAAGTATCATGGCTTATGGCATCAAAGAAATACGCAATAGGAAATGGAGCTGAACGCTCTTCATTCAAGTACTAAGCCTACACCTTTGTTCCTGAGTGTTTTACGTGAAAAAGACACTGCCCTGTCCTGTCCTTTCTTATCCTCTCTAAGTCATACATTCCAACTACCAGTGCTGCAGGATCTGAACCTGCCTGGTCAGACAGTCAAGCCTGGGTACCTTCCATTTTGTGTATCATCACGTGTTCTGTAAACTGACTAAAGACCTAATTTAAATCCCTTCAACCTATTGTCTTCAAATTATCTTTTCCTGGTATGTGTGCAGCCGCACTGTTTTTAAGTCCAGCTGAACAGATTTCAGTAACAAAAACTGTTGCCAATGCACAAAATGGCATAAAATTTCTCAGATATCATGTTTCACTTCATGTTGCTTTTTCTTTGCCAGGAAGGTGTTGAGGCAAGTAGCTGCTTATTTTTGTCATCAGGCTGAGCAGACCTGACTGACAAAAAGTGGAGATGCCGCATGAGATAGTGCTTCTTCAAATAGATAACATTTCAGGGAAGATGGTGGCGTGGCCGAGAGAGGAGTTTCAAAGGTAATTATGTGAGATCTTACTTTGCTTTTTCTACCAGGGCTAGAGCAAAAGTCCCTGCTGCCAGTGGTGCAGATGCAGAGGTCCCAGTGTGAGTCTCTGTACATTCATTGTGAAGATCAGCACTTGTCTGACAGAAAAAGAAAGGAAAAAAAAAAACCAAAAAACCCCAACCAAACCCAGATTACATGAATAAACAGTTGTAAATACAGTCATATCCACACTCACAAACATAACCATGTATCCTTTACTTGGTGCATACTAATACATTCCTCACCAGCAGAAAAAGTGATGGATGTTTAAGTCCATTCATATTTCAATCCACTCTTTTTACCTCAACTGTAATTTCTGCATCAAAATTTTATGTGTTGGAAAAAAATATTACCACACTGAGTATCTTATTTTATTCTAAGGTTTCACAATAAGTGTTTCAGGCTTACTAGTGAATCATAAAAGCAGATCATTGTGTTGGGCCTAGAACATTTAAAATTACTGCTTGCTTTAAAATTACTCACAGGATTTGTATTGGTGTTCTGCTCCCTCTTCAGTAGAAGAACCATAATTTGCAATGAAACACCTGTTTTGTTTGGAAATTAAATACCAAACTCATCTGCCCATGTATCTACACCATGTATCATTCACCATGAGAAGAAGCCACTTCAGAAGGACTGATCTCCTGGATAACGTGGAATTACATTGTTTCAATACCCATCAGTGTAGTTCACTGCAAAATTTGCATCTACCTGGGCTGAACAGAAATTATAGCTACTTCAACATTATTTTGTTGCAGCCATTTTCTTCAGTACAAGTTATTTCTTGCACAGTTAATGAAGGCACACAGGCTACTCTGCATGCTTGCTGAGTGCCTTTTACAGGTTTGGAATCGCTACTGCTGGTGTTGTAAGCAGGAAGTCAGGGGCTGACAATTTTACAAAAGCTAATGGCAGGGTGTATCAGAGCTACTGAGTCGTATGGTACACTAATTTCAAAAGTTCTTTATCCTCTTATTCTGAATCTCACTTCATCTGCCCCTTCTGAAGAATGGGGCCATACCAAACTTCCTGCAGACTCCTGTCACACACAAACAACAACTTCAACATGCTGATTTAACTGCACTGACACAATGATTTTGTTTAGGCGTCACTTTACAGTAGATGATGTTCTAGGAATACCATCACTTTCTGGATTACAAATCCCTCAGTGTTTCAAGGCAAAAGCACTAAGCATATAACACAGAACATAAGCAAGCACTTGAAACCAAGCATTTAAGAACTCTCACTTGTTATTCGCATATATAATACATTTCTATGTTTGTTCTGAATCTGGTAAAAACAACCTACAATTCTTTGGTCAGTATAATCCCCACTGCTGTATGCTGTGGCCAGAGTTGAAGAGCACTTCTCTGCATACCACGGAGAAAGGCCTTGCTGAGAAGCACTGCTAATGGAGATAGTGTAGATACTATCAGTGTAACCATCACAGTCGCAGTTGTCACCCTGACGGCCTCCGTTCCCAGAAGCCCAGACGAAAATGGAACCTTTCCCATTTCGGCCCTAAAGAAAATAGAAAGGAGCGGTTATTAAAGAGATTTCAATCTCTGAAATATATTCTTAACAACTCCTTCCCCACAAAAACCCTAACACATCAAACATTTTCAGGTAGAAAAGGACAATCTTCCATAGCACTGTAGACAACAGAAGAAACCAACAGCTGTTTGAAGTATGCTACCTTACACCCTAAAGTACATCTCTTAGTTCTGCTGCTCTAGCTTTGGTGTTCCAGGTACAGAAATTTTCCTCAGAATAGGCTATTAAGTTAAAAAACAGAGTCTGTACAACAGGTAAGTCTTCCCACATGTTGATGTTTAGGTTCTGAACATTTCTAGGAAAAATGCCCATTTTTCTAAGCAATGGCAAGTTTCTCAGGGTTTATTTCACTTGCCTTTCCTGTAATCACAGACGTCTGGGTAGGCAGTGTGAATGATGTATGTGATACGACCTTTCTACCAATTTATTTTTTTTAAGGACGCCTTTCACGGTTAGCAGTGCCTTGCTGAAACATTGAAGCACCAAGCACATCTAATAAAAAATGCTCCTTTCTTTTGCAAATCTGTGGACCAGCACCACTCGTCCCCAGACATAACCATGTTCATTCCCTGCTCTGGTCTTCAGTGTGTAATGAAGGAGCAGCAGCTAACAACTGATGCTGACAGCATGTAAACCATCACAGATATCATAGAAGAAGCAAGTATCATCACCCTGTCCAGTCTTAAGCTGTGCTAGTCCTTCAGACAAAAAAATCCATTCTATGTGAAGAGTAAAAGTTCATATGTTGTTCTTTAACAGTATACGTACATTCATTGGAAACAGCAGCTGAAATACAGATTTTTATCATCCCGCTCAGATGAGATTTGAAGTTACACATGCAAGTGCTAAGATATTTGCAGCACTTAGAACATTAAAAGAAAAGAAAGCTGTACTCTTTGTGATACAGCTGCTAAAACGGGAAGGACAAGCCACATCAGTTACAGAAAATGACAGAGTATCTTCCTTTAAGAATAAAGGCTGTAGTCCAAGAAAGCACTGCTATATGTAAATAGGTGCTTTGATTTCACTTAGAGTGTTACTAATGCATCTGCAATGCTTAAGGCTAAGCAATGAAGGCATCAGGGATGAAAGCCATTGGCAATCCCAACTCTGGCTGATTTCAAGCAGAATGAAAACCACCCAGGCCCTTGCAAAAGGAGGGCTGACAAATTAATGGGTAAATTTGCTCTCCTTGAGAAATAAAACAAGTTTTAAAAAAGATATATTCTTAACCAAATAACCTGCATTTTCAGAGTAGGATCACTGCACTTTGGATCCTTAATTACTGCCTTAACTGTCTCTCTTACTGCCTACCTATGGACTTAGATCTCTGTTTATCACCAAGCCCACTTCTCTGTCTCCATTCTTCCCTGAGAGTGTTTGTCAGCTGTCAGACTCGTCTTTCTTCTTTTCTCCTTCTGTCTGCTAATGTTAACCGCCCTTTTCCCAAAATCTTCTTCCGCTTTGCTTCTGTCCTTCAAGCTTTCCTCCACTTCTCTCAACTCCTGCCTCTGATTCAGTCTTCCTCACTATATTAGCACCTGTTCATCTTTAGATACCTTTTCAACCCACTGTCAAGAGCAGGAGTATTTTATCAATACATCCCCAGCAGCTCTCAGTTTGCACTCTACTTATCATCCAACCAAACCTAAAGAGGATAACATAAGAAAGAACTGTAAAAACACTGCTTCCAATACTCTTAATCATGCATTTTTACTGTCTTCATTTTAATTGGATCATGATACACACCAATTTATAAACTAATGCAATTAACATAACATAAGCCCATCCACATGGTGCTAAAATGCATCACAATTTAATCCAGCAAAATATTCACAAAGCAGAAATTTTGTATTAAATTTTATAGGCTTTCAGTGCAGAAATCCAACTACTGCTCAGTGCAAAACAAGCAGCAGAGAAGGGTGACGGTAGCATGAGACAAAGGCAGCACAGGATGGCAAAAGAAAGCTTAACTGTGGAGAATGGCAGCTGAAAACCAGTTTAGAAAGCCCTAATGGAACTTTTTTAAAAGTCCTGTTCTGGCTGGTAATTTCTCTGACTTGCATTATTAAAAATTTATCTTCTCCTTTTCAAATATGTTTGAGAAAAGAGAGCATAAACCATTTTCATTTCTTCCCTGATACCAACCATTTTAAAATCCTGTTCTTTGTCACATTTTACTGTATCTTTCTCTTAAGTAGCATACCTCTTTTATCCCATACTCAAAAGCCTTCTGCGCCAGCCTCCCAGGTCCCTCCACAGTTTTACCATCATCATTAGGGCCCCAGCTTGCACTGTAAATATCCACATGTTCTGGATTGAAACCGATTGAACTGGCTTCAATAGCATCTGTGACTATTCCATCCAGCATACGTATACCTTAACAGAAAAAAAAAAAACCAAAAAACAAAAAACAAGCAGACTGGGTTTACCTTCTGTTCCTCCTTCTTTGTCTTTGTTAAATGAGTGTAAAGTTTCCAGCAAAATTGATCTGTAACTATTGTAACCACAGCCTACTGCTGTTCATGTAAGTAACACAGAGGACAGTTTGAGTCAGTGTGAAACAATAAGCTTACTGCAAAGCTCAGTGCTCTCTACAAACATTAAAAAAACAACCCTCTTAAATCTTGGTTGCCTCTTATTTACACCTTTCTGTCTTTTTACAGAGATCCAAGATCATGTTTTGCTTACTATCCCTGCTTTTTCTTATTGCTTAATCTCTAACGAAGACTTCTCAAATCTCTAGCATGTCTCTAAAATGAAATACGTTTTATCCACATTACTTTTATGTTTAAGATTTCTAAGAGTTTTAGTTCAAAGACATAGTTCTGAATGTTCTCACTTTGTCCTCACAGTCATTAAGGTTTCGCTGTCTTTGTGACTCTAATATTTCACTAGCTCGTCAATCTTCACCACAAGAAATTCTGACTGTTGTTTTACTGCCCTGTTTTTTCTACTCTGAGCAATCCAGAGATGCTAGCGATATCTAGCCATTAATATTTTATTTGGAACTGCATGATCTAATCTTCAGAGCAAGCCTATTCTCAGTAGTACTTAAAATTCAGTGGCAGACAGCGTTTCGTCTGCACTGGATCGCTCGCTCTGCAAATCCCTGGCTCTGCAGTAGGATTGCTACCACTGTCCACTACTGGGGGAGGATAGAAATAGCAGAAGTCTGGCAAACTTCCCACTATGGCATGGCTCTCCCGGCAACAGCAGCAATATAAGAGCCACAGGAGTCACGATTTAGCCTCTGTTTTCAAGCAATAAAAATGTCTGGGTTGTCTTGAACTTGGCCAGTTAGTACTACAGCAGCTGCACCATTACTGACAGTTGGTGAATTATGAGCACTCATTTTCTAGTATTTTCCACAAAATGGGGATCTTTCCAAAGTGCAGCAGGGAAAATGAGGTCATTCTGTTAAGAAAAACACCCACAACAAAAACCAAACTCAACCTCATCCTTGCAGCTTAGTCTTTTTCTTTTTTTTTAATACTATCAAGCAGAGAAAAAAAGACTGTAAGCATAATTCTTTTCTCAAATGGCTGGCCTCTAAGACTGGTAATATCTCCGAGATAAAGCTGGGCTTTACCATTTCATATTAATTGATGGCAAAACCAGACAATGGAGTCACTCTGCTCAACCACTGCTACTCCACTATCACTCACAACACTGGAAAAAGAATCAAGGTATATATGTTCTTCAGGTACTAAAAACAACACTTACCATAGATAGGCTTAAACTTGTAATATTTTGAATACTCATTTTTCTGTTGGATCAGAATTTTGAAATTCTCTCATACCATCACGCTGTGAGCAAAGATCTGTCTTTGTGGAAACGACTGCAAGTTCCGGGTGTTATTGCAACACATAATGAGATACTGGGAACGCAGAGAGTAGCGTACAGGTATTTCCCACAGAAGAAGACAAAGCCAGATGAGTAACACAGATAAATAATGTAATAAGGAAGAAAATAAGAACACTGACAACACACTGATGAAAACAGTTCAAGGAAAAAAACCTCACTGTCTTGTCTTTAAGATCTCCAGAAATCCTGCTTGTTTAAGTCAACTCATGGATTGGATGACTTTAGTTACATTTCCCTAAGCATATTCCAATTACATCCTCTCACATAAGCTCTTTCCTATTCTTGCACATGCTTGCTCCCATCATCAGTCCCACAAAATCAAAGGGCAAAGTCCAAGGTAGTTTCAGACACGTAGATGTATCTGCCTGGCAGAAGGCTATTTTTAGCAACATGTCACAGTGCGGGGACTCTGAGCCCAGTCCTTTGTAAAATGGAGCTTCTTAATCATTTGATTTCCATGGCAGCACCAGAGGAATGTTATAGCACAGTGCTACGGTTAGGTATGCAAGAGTATATATTCACTCTGCTTTACACCAAAGGTGATCAATACACACGCATTTCTTCGCTTTATCCAGAACGAGAGTGACTGTTAAAGCACACTGAAAGGTGTCACCTAGAAAACTGGCATTAAGAAGTATTTCTTCTTCACAGAATGCACAGAAAAGCTTATGGGATTCACAGACACTAAGTACTGAAGACAATAATCAAGTTTTCATAATAAGGACAGGCTTTCATGTGACTATTGAGAACACTCAGAATTATTAAAGTTGGTATCTTCAGGGAAAACAAAAAGATTTTGAATTAAATGTTTTGTTTTAACCTCCAAGGCAAAGTTAAAACAATTTCTGATGCTGAAGGCCACAGAACAAGGTATTCCAAACATCACAACTTCTCTCCCTATAGTAGCTATTGCTGACTATGAGAGAGAAGGCATTGGCTGTAGACCACTGGATTTATCCAGTATGGCAATTGCTACAAGCAAACAGTCACTTAAAGAAGTCATCCAGAACTAATGTCAAATAGAAGTGAGTAATGCACCATTTCATGGATTTAAAAAAAAAAAAAAAAAAAAGAGGAAAAAGCCTGTGAAGAAATTAATCCTGTATGTCTTGGAACATCAAAACGCCTCCCTGTGTTTAGCCACTCCAAATTTATCTGAATCTTTTAAAGACTTTTCCTGTCTTCCATTGCTCTTTGAACATATATTTGTTGGGTCCCTATCTTAATCGTGCTGGTCATATACAACAGCTTAGAATTTCTTTCAACTTCTCTATTCTTCCTCTTCTCCCCACCTAGGTATAAGCAGATTTCTGGGTAATTTGGATTGCTGGACTGCTTTTCCTCACATTTTTCTCTTCTAGACAAATGACCCTGTAGTTTGCATTTGCAAATGAACACAGAGTATATGCAAATAACTATGGAAGAATCTTCTCTGCAGATGCAAGTGCCTTAAAAAAAGTGCACAGCAGGAGTTCAGACATCTTTGAAGCTCCATCCATTTTGCTCTGCTTTGAAAATTTGGCGTCTTCGTCTTATGAGTGACATATTTTATTTAAACAGAGCATGACAGCATAATGCATTATGGCAATGGCAGACTGCAAAGCTGACATCTGCGACAGCTCAGTACTGTAAATGCAAACCTACACACATAAGACTGAAATAGAATCATAGAATGGTTTGGGTTGGAAGGGACCTTAAAGATCATCTAGTTCCAACCCCCTGCCATGGG